TGATCATCTCATAAAATTATGCAAATGAAACATTACACGGTGTAGCCAATCTATTAAGTGGTCCGGTTATAGATGAGCTCAATAACTTAACAGGAAATAAATGTTATACCCTCCATAAGTGGCTGGGGACAAAGGTTTTTCCATTTTCCCTTATCAGCAGGAGGTAATTCTCCCATTAACTCCCTTTCTCAATTCGCTTTGATGCAATCTATCCGTCTTTCTGGTCTTTTTACACCTTTCTATACTTTGACGTTTAATGGTATATGGTTTGTGTTCTACTGAGACTTTATAATCAATATTATCCGTACTAATATTATAAATCGGAAAGTGAGTTTGTTTGCTTGTTCTGCTTTCACGTCGTAATTACTAAACCGATTGCTTTGAATTTTTACAGACGTAAAGTTAGAAGGTCCGGATTAAATAATAAGGTACTTTTTATTCCGGAAAATTTGTAATTCCCGAGGGAAAACAAAAGTATCGGTATAGATGGCGCTGTGTGTATTGGTATATATGTCACATAGGCTACTTTTTATCCTTTTGTGACGCGAGCGAAGCCGCGGGTAAAAGCTAGTTCCAAAATAAACTACGATGTAAAAACACATGTGATTCACAAAATAATAAAACACGAAATGATGACGTTGGTTCCAGGAAAGTCACTCTTTGCTGTCAGAGAATGTACAACATGCGGACTGTGATACACATAATTAATGTACATCTTAATAATGCTTCAATCCTGTTACTCATTGTTCAGAGAAACTAGCTGAATCAAGCTGTCTAGTTTTCGAAGCAATCACTTTAACAATTTTTCAGCACATTTCAAACATTAACAAGTAGATAGCGCGGGAAAACACAGTGATATGATTAAATATTTTTCTCCAAACTCTTTCAAAATAAATAAAGTTTGCAAACTGTGAACTAAGTTTCTACAAAACTACAGACTTGTGTAGAGTAGAATTCTCTGGAATAAAACTCAACTCAATATCAAATGTCTAATATAATATTTACTTATGTAGCTTTAGTAATATTTCATAGGGTTTACAAATAAACAAGTATAAGTTATCACGTAAGCTTGTAGTTATTAAATAATTGAACCGTATAACTTAATATGAAAAAAGTAAAAATAATACATACGTTCCATTTGATCAAGAAGTCATCGTGTTAGAGATCAGTAGTGGACTTCTTGCTGATGATGATGTCAGAATCACACGATGATGTACGACGACGAACATTAATGTTTATCATACTTTCCTAGTTAAGCACATTTCACATGACATAGTTATTTGAACTTTATCTGAACCAGTTTAAAGTAATCTTGACACAAATTCGCACATCAGCGTAGGCGGTTACGAAAGAAAGCTATCCAGATTGCGAAATTGAATTCTAATTCCTAAACACGCAGTAACCTTTAGATGTTGTAACATTACCATTAACCATGTTAATGACTACAAAGGGAAACAAATGATTACTACGTAAGATAATACGGTACACAATTATCTCTGTGTGTTTCTGTTCTCCTGGTAGTTAGTGGTACACAAAGGTGAACTAACGCCAACCGCACGGTTGCAATTTAAGTTAAGCACTTATATTGTAGTTGTGTTTTCAATTACAATAGAAATGGTATTATGATTATCGTGTTTGTATGTGTGTTTTTAACATATTTATCATTTTATAATTATAAAATTATATAAAGAGGAAAGATTTGTACCTATTTTTGTATGTTTGTAATGAATAGGCACAAAAAGTACTGGGCCGATTTAAAAAATTCGTTCACTAATAGAATACTACATTCTTCCAATTTGACATAGGCTACATTTCATTTTGAAAAAATTAGGGATCCTTGGTAAAATTGAACAGTGTAACCGAAGGTGTAGAAAAATGAGTCTTAAAATGTCTTTCGTCGAATGCGCTGCCGAAACTATTAGCGATAGAACAAAATAATGTACAACAATATTAAAGAACATCATAATGTCTACAAAAATTGACTGACTGCACGGTTGGTGCGGTGGCTGGGTAACCGGCTGCCGAGCAACGTGTCGCGGGTTCGATTCCCGCACGGAACAACACTTTGTGTGATCCACAAATTGTTGTTTCGGGTCTGGGTGTGATGTGTATGTGAACTTGTATGTTTGTAAACGCACCCACGACACAGGAGAAAACCCTAGTGTGGGGCAACGTTTTTTTTTAAAAAAAAAAAAATAATCTCCACGGTAGCATATGTCCAACTATTGTAATTATATGTCACTACAATAATGCAAATTTCCAAAAATAAATAATTGTCTACCCCTCTGCGAAGCCGGGACGGGCTGCTAGTCATTTTATATAATACATACACATTATTGAAAGAGGTAGACTGTAGCCTACAAGAGATAAACTACACAGTTCACTCAGTGATTGCCGTGTACCCACGTATCGCAGGCGATAAGTCCAGTATCGGACAAAAAGTGTTAATGTATATTTTCCGGACGAAAATCTTAATTCCGCATCCTCCTCCTTCTAATGTTTTTTCTTAATCGAATCAGTAGAAAGATTTATTATATGGTAGAAAGCAGTTCATTTGGTCCAACTCACAAAGTGTGATAAGGATAGAAGATAAGTACTGCAGTGGTTCCTCAATACTAGGTTGATGTAATGTGGTGCAAAAGTATTTCTCAATGTATCGCCGTTGTTAATCACTGTTATAAATGTATATATTTTGTTGTTAAATTAATAAAGTAAGACATGATGTCTTGAACTCCATCCCCAAAATGAGTAAAGCAGTTAGGCGAACCTAAAGAACAAATCTTCATATTATTAATCATTATACCATGAGAATTGAAAATCTACGTCGCATTAAAAATAAATTATAAAAATTTTCAGTCAACTGTTCAACTGACCCGACAAACAAACATCAATACATACTACCTAAACAAAAATAATTCAAAACAAATTGCTTTTCGATTTGTGTATTCGTAAACCCGTATTAAATAAAGCTAAACCGTGTAAGTCGTCCATAAAATGTTTACTGCTATCATTAAGTTAATTCCCTGGCTCTGTCTAGAGCGGTGGTTAAGAAAATTATCGTGGAAACTACACACAGGCCTCCTAGCCTTTATTAAGAAAAATTTATGCAATTACAAGAAAACTTTCATTATGAAGTTATGCAAAAATTATTAAAGGAACTACGGCTATTGCGTAGGAATAGAAACCGGTCATTTTGGTTGAAAGTGGTTCGATAGAATCGTGTAAAATAACTTTTTGAAGTGTACATTATATTCCTATCAAATCAAATTATTAATTTATTTATTGAGGATGAGAACAACACCTAAGATGGTTAAAATAATCTAATAATGTACTACAAAATTAGGTTTAATCCACGCGCCAAAGTTTTAAAAAAACTGAAGTGACTACTGCCTCTTACGTATCCTCTTCTGGGTATAAATAAATCTGGCTGACAACTACTATTAAAATTTGAAATGCAAGCGAGTGTACACTGTAAAAACTTATAATGCGCAATACTGGAGTTAATGTTAAGGTCTAAAGTTCACCACTAGCCCTGTTGCATGACGCAGGCGCACTAGGGGTACAGGACGACACGTATTGCATCACGTACGCAAAATGTAGGCAATACTTAATTAAATATCAATACTAAAGTAATGACTAATACAACCAAAAATTGGATTCAATTAATATTGAAAATGTGATAAAGGTCTGCACGCAGGAAGATAAGTACGTAGGTTACTCTTTAAAGCTTATGTTGTCCTAGTACCTATTTTAAATTGATATAAAGTTTATAGGGACCAAACCCTATTATTATTTATTCTATTTACTTTATTACTATAAGCACAATTTAAAATTACCTTCGTCCCACTTTAATACAGTTTATCTATTTCTCTTACAGCAGCCATTAATTTTTTTCTAATAAAAATTATCGACTGATTATCAAATAATTTATTCTCCAGATACTTTCTTTACCTCACAGATAGAAAGAAGAAAGTTGATCTGTAATTTATCAGTAAAAAATTAAACTTGTCCTTGAAGTATAGCATCGACGCCTTACCCTAAGTAATAGGTACCAGGACTACATAAGTTAATACCAGTACCTAACTAGTTTAGTACATTTCTTTTTTTATTTTTCATTTTTTTTTTTTGTTTCTCTTAAAGAAAAATGTAAGGGTTATATTACCACAGCAAATAAAACTATTCATAATACTACTTATGTATCAAAATCTCATATTTATATGTAGGTACATACTCATGTCGCAAGTTCGGGAACAAGACAAACTCAATACAACAGTCGCTCATGACGTCGTGTTTCAAAATATAATTAATGGCGATAAACTGCTAATCACAGGGGCATCATAAACCCGCTGACTCATCGGGCAACGTCGGGAGGCGTGACTAGTGACGTGAGTGATCTAGGACGGCTCAACAAAGGAACGCTCCTTAACTAATGGAAAATGTTTTCTTTTGCGTCGCAACCTAACTCCGGCAGCCAACAAAGGAATAGCGGTTTTGGAAAGAAATCTGGGTCTAAATGTGATTTTATTTCGTTTTAAATTTTAAGCGATCGTCAAAGTTAGACATTCGAGGTTGATATCCGAATAAGCGGTAAAACTACAATGCAATATTCAAAAATATTTTTAAGTTTGAAATTAAAACATTTAATTTATGAGATTAGCATAAAGAGGAACGAAGCAAGGTAGTTGTTCATTTAAAACTAAAAATAAAAATCCTTAGAGCCTCCAAACAAAACCACGTAAAATTAAATTTAGACGTAGACGCGCAAAAACGTTGACGAACTTAGAAAATCATATTTTATATTCTCCAATATTATTAGAATATTCCAGCGAGATAAATTAACTGATTTTTATTCAGAAAACGCGATAATTAATTCAATATTATGGAGCACACCTGAAAATTACAGGACGAAACCTACCTCAGTTATCCTGCCCAACACATCGGGCAAACAATTGTAGACATAATAAAAGTGTGTCATAAATGAATAGTAGGAGGATATTTACCTGAAGTTGTTTGTCTTAGTGCGGCCGGCGCGTTGCCGGCAACTGCATGTCGATCACAAGAACTGCACTGGGGAACAGTGAACCACTGGGCACTAGTACGCGGCCTCCGACGAGAGACGACTGCCCGAGACTGCCTCGCCCCGGCCGAGCGCCGCCGAGCGCCGGCCGAGCGCCGGTCGATACGCGCACAACAGGTTAGTTGCGTGCGCCGAAATGTAAACACTCCTCCACTCGTGTGCAGCTCAACACTAATGGACCTAAATCCGTATTGGTCCTCAACTGCAACCTCTGCACTCACTCACTAATGGTCCTTTTAAGACAATAATCACATTTGTTCAGTTTCCCTGTAAATTAAAAAATTCTTACTCGTCAATATTGATTGATATGATCTTAGATTTTGGAAAGCTCGAAATGTATCTTTATCTACTATCCGTTTACTCAAATACGAATAACAAACCAGCCAGTAAGATCAACTTCCTCATTTGCTCGTTTCAGCTCATTAAAATATCCAGTTTCAAAGCAAAAATATTATGTTTCTGGCTGTATTACTCCCATATCTACATAAAGGAGTACATTCCCAGCGGTGGGTTCACACGGGCTCAGTAATTACTGGGAACAAGTGAGCTGTTAAAGTGTTTATGTTGCCATCCACGCAAATATACGCACTTGTGACTTTAACTACAAAATGTTACATCTACTAAATGTTACAAACAAAATGGCACACAAACTATTCCACGGCTAACGTATGGGTATCGGTATTTACTACACACTTCGTATAATCTTCATCATGTGTCGAAATTTCCAGAAAGTTCCTATTGTTGTTCCGTTTGGCCCATAAAATTGAAACGGAGTTTATCTCGTACAATTTGGGACGGTTACCTAGCAACGTGTTTCCGTTTTCCCTTATCAACGAGCTTCGTTTATCCTGTGCTCACCTTCGCACAATAAAATGTGGTTTATTTACGAACCAAAACGATAACATAGGTTTTTATTGGGTGCGAGTGACCCGCCCCGATATAACACGGCTGCAACTTGACCTTTGTAACCATTTTCTTTCATGCTTTTATGTTTAAATCACATACACTACAAGCAAACAAATCTACATCAAAATGTATTTTGCCTATATGTATTAATTACCTAACATATTTTTGACGATCGTTAACATACTAATATTAACTAAGAAACATGATAACTGATGGCTGAACAAATTAAGAACATAATTCAAAACAGAACTACTTTAATTTAATCACAATATGTTGCAACTGTAATAGAAGATACCAAAATCATTTTAACCAATCACGCACGGCGAAGCATCCACGGCATTACACTAACCAATATGATGATTGTAGCAAACCGTCAATGATGGATTATTTTGTGTTCTATACAATTGTGTTCATAAATTCGTCGCGGGTCGCGAAATGCTGCTCATGAATATGAGCCTCTAGCATGGCGTAAAACTAGTCGAGTTCCTCGTCAAATTATTACGTGAGTAAGCCGAAAACATAATAATTTAATATTTAGTATGTCTCACGAAAGTTACAATACAAATTGTGTTCATCTACCCGAAATAGAAATTATCAATTTATCAATATGTGAACAATGATACGATGAGGTCCACCTCGCTTTCTTTCATGTAACAAGTATCGTCTTTGGTCTTGACTTAAATTGTAACTTTAGCCTGCTTTACAAGCAACACTCGACATTAAACTGATAAATAAAAGGAATCCTTACTAATTACCAGGAGACTATGATCCACCGCAATTAATGTAAAAATTAAAAGAAATAATCCAATGTCACTTACATTGTCATGGTCATTCCCAACCTTTGGAGCGTGTATTGACTGTGCAAATAACAACATTAATCCAGCATTATTAACCCTTCCGCAAACGTTGGTCGTTGGGACCGGCCGGGAACAATGTTACGTGTCAACACGAACATCGGATGGATTTGCCTGGTAAGCACCACTCTATTTGTGTAACAACTAAACCCTTTTAGCATAGATACAAAGTGTAGAATAATTTGTGATATTTCTTCAAACGTATTAAGAGTGTTATTCGTCTGTTGGTATCCACTGTAATCTGTATAAGTGCATCGGATAGAAGAAGTATTATCATATTTTCAGTTGCAGAATCTGTGTGCTCCCTAGCTTTTGCGATATCGTCGAGAGAAAAAAAGGGATGGTGACTTTATTCTACTCCGTGGTCTCCCTACATGTAAAAGGATTCCACAACTGAAATTTTCTTTTACAATACTACAGCACCGACTCCTCATAAAAACAGAAACAATGAAACATCAGATTGTTTACATTGACAACGTCAAGAGCCTCATAAACCTGTGACGTTGTAAGGACTTTAGGGATGAAGTCACAGATTCGTCACCAGCGCGTAGGCTGAGCTATAAACACAGCGAGAATTGTTCCCGAAACTAAGTAAAAACGATTGGCTGACTCACAATCTTTAATTTGTAAGAAAATCTGACATTTTAGTAAAATGTGTGCCAAATGTTTGTCATCATAATGTTACGCCTTTTATTTCCTTTTAGGGTAGATAGACTTGGGCTATCATTATTTTTTGTCTTTTCGGTATATTATGAATTTATGACCAACCTTGTGACGGGGGCAAGTCTGTTTCGATAATATTATATTGATCACAATCTCAGACTTTTTTAGTGATCCCTGACGGCGGCGTGCCAAGAGGCTCACCAACGATGATGCGCTTGTGGAAACTCGGCTTCAAAGCCCTGAACACGCGTAAGGTTGCAAGCCTTTCGGTTTTCTACCGGCTACATTTCGGTGAGTGTGCGGGGAATTGCACGACTTGATTCCCCCTAGTCCTTTCCATTATCGTACCACAGGACAATCGGCGAAGCGTTAACGAATCATGGTAGATGTCCTACCCACACGCAAGAAGCGCTTCGCATCAAGCTTCCTTGTGCGTACTGCTAAGGAGTGAAATTCTTTGCTAGAGTCTGTATTTCTTGAAGGGTACCCTGTGTGTCTTCAAGGCCCGAGTGAATAGGTTGCTTATGGGACGACGTGCTCCATCGTAGACCGCATTATCGCTTACCACCAGGCGAGATAGTGGTTAAGCGTCGGCCCATCAAATATAAAAAAAATCCCTTAATTTAACTTATTACTGAATACTTTAACCGACCTCATCTTTTATCACAATCACCACTGTCCCCTGCCTCCTGCCAATATTAATTTTCTAATAATCACTCCTCCTAAACTTTTCCGTCCACCTCAAAAGCTTATTTTATTATTAAAGCGAAGATTCTAACATTCCCGGGTGGTTAATAAACTAGCGGGTCTCAGGTGCCGAGCCGGGTATCCTGACGTCACCCGGGTAAGAATTCCGAGTACGCAAGCTTGACCTTTTCATTCCTTCACCTGCCTTGCGTTCCACGGATCTCTCACTCGCACATCGATATAGGAAAACTTCGTCTGCGTTATCTAAGGAACGGTGACGTGTGTAAATAAAATATTGGAATGATATCCGTTTAAAGGAAATGCGACTTAAGAGGAGGGGTCTTAATAATTTTGTGGGTTTTATATATTTGGTCTTTATGTTTGGCATCAGTAATGGTTTGGATCACCTGAAACACAGAATGTCCTGTTCATTCAAACACTTAATATTGTTTAAGCTGACCTGTATATTTTCACAGTAATAAAATTGTTTCACTCTAATTTCTATTTTATTTAAAGGTTGTCTATTAGCAATTAATCTAATTATTTTTATGTTTCCGGCTTACTCACGTAACTGTTTGACGAGGAACTCGACGAGTTTCAAGCCATGCTAGAGGCTCATATTCATGAGTAACATTCCACGACTCGCGACGCGGCGACTGTCGCGATGTTACTCTTTTAATATAAACATATGTTTATATTAAAAGAGTTGATATTCATTTATTTGTTATACGATTGTGTACAAATGTTTATTAGTGAAACTGTAAATAATATCAGAAGTCCTAAGAAACTCCTTAGCCATGTTTTGCAATGGGAAGTATCCATGTCTCAAATGTGGTAGATACATTAAACAAGGATATAATTTATGTGAGGATATTTGATCACACAGGTGTCATAGTGTGGAGCTTGGACCACGTCCATGACATTTGGTTTTCATAAAACTGAATGTGTCCATTAATCAAGAGTATTGTCACATAAAATTTATATTTAGTTTTAATAGCTGTTTAATTTCGGGCTAAATATGGAACTTCCGTTCAAAGTTTATTTATTTATTTATAAAGTTTGGTGCAATTTATAGAAAATTAACTGTACTGAAATTAGTTAGAAAATAAATAGTCATCCATATGATTTTAAAAGGCTGATGAAGCCAGACATATTTCATTAATAATATCGCAGAAAAGTAAGGATCTGGCATTCTTAAGATGTCCTTAGATTCTTAAACTAAATCAAGCATTTTATTCGGTTATTCGCAAAAGGTCAGTCTCAAAAATGTTCCAAAACTTCTGGAAAGTTCTTTTTTCATTACACGATCCATTACGCGCTGTCAATGATATTGCTGCGACACGTATTGATGAATGTGAATCAATACAGCAATGTAATAAAGTTTTTCTTTACTCACGCACGCAATGTACTGACCACTCCATTTTCGAAGATTTATTGGTTGGAAGATAAAAAATGGATTATGTGTGATGTCAAAAAATAATAAGTACCTCGATGTTTTTGATCCGTTTCGGATTTTTGTCCAGTTTTTAGATATTGTTCGAGTTTATGAAATATACGAAATCTATCTAATCATAATTATGATTATTATGTACATAGTTATTTTTATAATTAACATTCAGAATATCTTCATTTATATTCTCGTTCTCATATTACGCAGTTTTCTGCTAAATTCTAGCATAAATATAATCCTTCTAAAACCTAGGTCTTACATGCGCAACTTGACCTAGATAATAGTAATAATACACGAACACAACAAGACACCTGGGATTATTTTAATAAAATACTGGATATTGGACGCAACGTGCTTGGAAAGTACTAGGGCGACAGGAGATTAGAGGCGTACCTATATTTTCTTTTTGTCTGTATTTTACGAACAAGCTTACTTCGATAATCTTGTGTACGCCCATCATATGCGTAGAGTTATCACGGACCTTATGAAAACTCGTAGTATTAAGGTATGAATCCACTTTTCCTAACACCCACTGCTAAGCCTGAGGTCTGAAGCCTCTCGTCAGACCCGACCTTATATTTTATCCAATTTCTT